CAAGGCGCAAACAAACTTGGTTAACGGGGTCGGATTTCATTCATTTATTGTCGTATGCATGGCGTGGGTTTGCCAGGTGCACAGGGCTGGGGTAGAGGCCTAACTGAGCTGAAACGAGTTTTATGATGGTCGTTGTCACAAGCCCCTTTTGCTCTCTGTGTTCAAACCGCCAGTATGATTGCAATCGCCTCAGGGCAAAAGTCAGGCCAAAAACAGTCAGTGGGTAATCAAGTACACATGTATCCTGACTCCTGGGCGAGCCGCAGCTGACACACCTACATGTAGCTCTCTTTGTAGAGCATGGGCCTTCCATTGCTTCCCCAGATCGTGGAATGCGCGTTTTGAACCCCACAGAGTGTCCTGGCGCAGCAAAGAGATACCGCTCTTCTTCATGTGCTCCTCAATCTAACCTTGAACGGCAATAAAACCTGTCAAGGCAACCACTCGGATAAGGCGACCGCCTGCCCCAGAAGACCACTGTAATCAGGATTAAGAGATGCTATTTCCAGTCAAACGACCCTGGATAAGGAGACCACCTGTACACGGCGACCCCATTGTGAAGGTCCTTTGAGCGGTCGGCTTAGACAGGTTTCATTGTATACCAATATAGCCTCCCCCCCCACACACACACACACACGCACACACGCACACACACACACGATATTAGAATTCTGCGTTAGCGGGCTACAAGCGAAGCTCGTCTCCGCCCTTGAAAGTCTAGGCTAAAATAATTGTTCCCGATATCACAACAAAATTTATATTTCGTCCAGCGCATGCGGCGATTGTGAATAGCAACTGAACAGTCAAATGGTTGTTGTTGTTGTTTTCTTTATTTGAATTCGGTAAAACCAAACGGACAGACCTGTCCAGTGACAAGGGAGCGAATGATGAGCGTCATAATCACTATGCATCAAAACATCTCAGGGCAAAATGAGACAGACAATAAGGTGGGTTTTCACACCACTAGTACATACCGTTAAAGGGTAGTACGAGAACAAAGGTGCGGCAGAAGTCTAAGCAAGAAAGCAATCAGCGCCAGGTCAGTTGACAAACACCCCTTTTCTTTATGATGCAGTTACGTGATGTCCACCACTTTCTTAGGAAAATGATGATGCAGCGCTGAACATATTACCCAGTATTGCACTGCGGATAGGCACTTCTTTACTTTGTGGGTACATACATGTACATGTGACCAGCATCCAGATTTATCTCGTTACCTCATTACTGTTGCCTGTTGATCGCCTCGTGCGTTACACTCTGAGTCAAGACAAAATACTCATCCTCTTCTACTTGTTAACCAGTATTACATACGCAACACTACCCCCCCCCCTCCCTTCACCCATCACAAATGTATGTGTGCATGCAGTACGGTATGGATTACCGGCCGACTCGCATCACGGGGGTACTTGCTCCTTAATGCCCGCACAATGCACGTCATATTTATCAAGAATGGGGAAGTTCGGGAGCTGTCGTTGTCTCTTGACAACGTTCAATTTCCTGAAGCAGTCCAGGCCCATACCACCTAAAGGGAAACGTCCAATAGTCGCTCGTCAAACTTTTGAAACAGTTCATCTACGTGTCCATACTGGAGCAATTTTATGCTTTCAAAATTCAGCGTGGTCGATCGATAAGACATCACAGTTACCTGAGCAATTGCATCCAGGTTTATCATGAACATTTGTGGAGCGTGTCACCATTGGCCATTTCAACAACAGTGATAATTATCTGCACTACCTTACCGCTGATAGGTTGAATTCTCTTCCAGCGGAGTGCTGCCAGTAGGCATTGGCGGATAATGCTCGAAAAGGTGGCTGATTCTGCTCGAAAAGCAGTGAAATTGTCAGAAACATACAAACCTTATGGTGGGCAATTCCTCGAATTCTGCTCCAGTTCTTTATCCACATACCCAACATGCATGAAACTTACCAGAAAAAGTACCGAATTCTGCCAATTTTTCTGCCGGCATTATCCGCAAAGGCTTAGCCGCCAGGCAGCCTCCTTCACCATACATGTATTTAATAGCCTTCTACGTAGCCTCTTTTCTAAAATATGATGTCATTGTAATTTGATTGTATGCAGCTTCCGTTTCCATCATTCAACCTTTTCACACAATTAGCCAGGGTGCACGTGCCCCTTTAAAAATGACTTACAGTCTGTGGGGATTGCACTAGTAAAAGAATGATTACAACACCAAAACGTCCTTTACAGCGTTGGTACGACTAGTCCTGATTATGAAAAGACTCCTTTGTGCCGGTATAATTCCACTAGACGTCTAGAAGGAACCTAAGTTGTCTGCACTGCACAGGTATAATATTTGATTTTTGAACTCTGGGTGGCAACTGTGCTGACTTCTGCCTAGTCTGCAGGGGTGTAGTGGATATCAGCGCACGAAGCACAGAACCATAGAGTTTCATTTCTGTCATACTACTGAGAGTGCATGGCATTCTCATTCCATGACGATGCTCGCTTCATTGAATTTTGTTGTATGTGGGTAGGGTTCCAATTTACTTATCACGTTCTTCCTTTCATGCAATTATTTTCAGTACTTGGATTGTGTTCTACTCCTCCATAAATTGCAAACATATTTTCTACTACAAGACCTTTCGTATCATTACGTTTCAAGTCAAATACATTAGCGATTAACATGGCAGCAAGCAAGTCCATAATTGTAGTGTTGTTAATGTACATGTATAATGGCTTCTGTTCTTCCTGTGCTGATTCGTTTCCCTGCAACCACGAATGTACACTGCCATTACTGGACATGATCTACACTCTGGAGCAGTTCTACACCTGCCTGTACATGTACTTGTATGTCGGGAGAATTACCAGTATGGGTTATCAGTGTCGATGATCGCGCCCCAGGCCCCACGCACACAGCTTCATACCGCTGCCTCTGCCTCACGCCGCTGCCTTGGAGACAGGTCTTAGACAACACACCGTAGTACATGATTGTGGTAGTACACTTACACAGTGTCTAGTGCAGTGACTCTGCGAGTGGCTGCCTTTTTGTAAAACCTCCATTTAGCAGCGGTATAATAATATGAACACGGATGAACTTGGCAGTGATGGTCACAACATGATGCGCATTTACGAGTACAATGTACGACACACTTCCAGGCCACCCATGTTCTTGTAATCTTCTTCAAGTTATTGCTTATCATGTAGGTGATCGAGAAAAGGGGCGAGAGTGTGCCAGCCACACACTATAACTGGACTGACTGGTGCATTCATTCACAGCCATGCAGCGCGCGGGAGAAACCAAGAACTAGGTTCCCAACGTGCTAATCAGCCCTGGCCTTGTTCTGAATGCTTCGAATCACACTGCGGAAGTGGGGTATCAAAGCCGCCGCTAGACTTAATAAATGCTACATCTACATGTACATGTAGATGACCTTGCGAGGCGTGAAGTACGCGCCCCAGCTTCGTTCCTTCGACAGGACGTCCACCGGGGCCTCAACTCGTCTGGGCTATCGAAGAGCATTACTTGTCGTCCAGGCAAGACCCTTTAATTCGGCCTACGTGTATGAATACTGATCCCTGCGTCTGGTATGACGTCCCTGGGGTGGTTTGGAGCTAATCACGTGATTGTTTCCCCTCCTCTAATTAGACTAGAGGCTACTATACTATAGACTTGATAGCGAATGCATTTCAAATTATAGTTTCTGAACAGACATGTTGGCTTGCCACGGTGCATACAAATACTAGAAGTAAAAGAAGTAGGAATAGAAACGGGAGGCTGAAATGGAGTCCGCTGCCTTTGCAAGAAGAGATTTGAGATCTTCATGATCGAGCCAGCTGCCTCCTGGAACACCACATGCCCGGGATGTCGCTTTGCTTCTTGTCTGCTGTGTCAAATTGTGACGCTCGCGTGGCGACCGCAGTGTTGGTGTGCCGTTGGGATATGGATATTCCGTACAAGGCGAAATGTTGCTAGCCAAGGATCGATGGGTCATTGCTTGTACAGGTTTGAAAGCACCCTGGCATGAAATGCAGTTATTTTCGCAATACCTTCTGTGCATGCCCATATACAGTGTAAATAAACCTACATGTATCTACAATCAAAGTCGTATACAATATGTACATGTACACACATACACACACACACATTCACAAGCACATACACACGCGCGCGTGCGCGCGCGTACACATACTGTGATACGCGTCCAACGCCCACGGAAAGCTGAACTAGACGCCTCTGCCTGCGGGACTTGAGTAGGCGCCGTTGTGTCCACATCGTTACGAAACAAGATCCCAACTATCGTGCCAACACATAACACAGTACAGGGGGTCAAACTTGGAAGCTTCCATGCGAAGACTTCACATTCAGGTACAGACCACCAAAGGTACATGTACATGTAGGTTTGGTGTACTGATCGTGTCGCACATATGAGTACCGACTCTTCTTTCACAGAGAACACCAAGTCTCTGTGAAAAGCGCACAGGAACAAAATGCTGGGATATGAGCACTTCTGTAAGTTACAATATCGCACGTAGATAGGTTTGGAATATCCGATAGAAAGACGTGGAGACTCGGTGGCTGGAGGTAACTCGTACAACGATGGAACATAATATTGGTTCGTTATATTGAAGGGTTTGGTATAATGGGGTGGGCAGGCGACTGGGTACTCTGTATACCCGGGCCAGGGCCAGTGGTGACTTGTAGAACGAGGACCCCCGAGGTGCCGGAAGTGCCTGTCAACTTGTCGACTCCTAGAGCACTAGAAAACGTGACACCAAGAAGCCACAGCTCGCCAAGCAGCTGACGAGAATTACAGCGGACACATAGCGTGGAAATACTTCAGGCAGTGCCAGTGATCACGTACAGTGACGCTGTGCAAATCACCACTGGTACAAGGAAGCATAGCATCCTCGCTGACGGCACTAGTGGTACAAGGAATCATACTGACATCCTCACTCACCCACCAGTGATTATAGTAAAGGTCTGACAGGCTTGCGGGGAGAGATTTTCTTCACCTGAATAACGACGGCCCGTCGCTTCTTTCATTCCCAGGCTGGTCAAACAAAACTCCTGAGCGAGAATACTGATGTTGTCAGTCAGTAGCGACATGCAAGCAGCCTTACCAGCTGGAATGTACTGTCTCCTTCAGTATTGTGAAGTACATGTATAGTGCTGTGTAGTGTCGTGGAGGGTATCAAGAAGAAGCTGCACTGCCCGTTATCAACTACTTGACGAGGTCCTCTGATAAGAGATTGCTGGCAGCAGCTCCAGTATCTGATCCTATCTCTAACGACCAGGAGTGATTTACTTTATCGTTGACACGACTGGCAACCCGGTGACAAAGCGCACAGCAGGATCTAAAAGTAAGGACTTAGGTATGGTGTGTATGTGCTTTTCCTTTAATGGCTCAGTGGCGCCTTTAAGGCTGCGTTTACACGGAGACGAAACGAAACGAAACGGAACGAAACGGAACGAAAACGGGCTGGCCTCGAATCGTTTTCAAACCGTTTACACGAGAACGGCAAATCGTTTTGAACCGTTCACACGAAAACGGAAAACGGACGATCAGGCTGGAGTTAGCACGTGCTGGCTTGGCGCAAGGGCGGGAAGTAACACGTTAGTTGGAGTTGGTACGTGCTGGTGGTCGCAAAGGTCAGGTATTTCCCGCGAAATATAGTACCGCGCGGAATGGTTTCCATGACCGCGCTCCGTTTCCAATCGTTTTCACTGTTTTCACCGTTTACACGAGAACGAAAACGTTTTGAAAACGTTTCAAAACACTTTGAAGTGCGTTTCCATTTCGTTCCGTTTAGGTATCGTTTTCGGGCGTTGTCGTGTAAACGATAGTAGTAAACGCAACGATTTCGTTCCGTTTAGGTCCTACTTCGTTGTCGTGTAAACGCAAATCGTTTTCAATCGCTGTCGTGTAAACGCAGCCTAAGACCTGACTACATTGTCATACACACGTAGATTCAAAAAGATGGGAAATGGGAACGTTAAAAGAGAGGAAATACAACGTAAAGGCAAGGGATCACTTTTGGGGGGGGGGGGGGCTTTCATCGTACACAGAGCACTGTACAATCATGTACATGTACAATGTACGTTAGCCTACGGTTAGGACTCCAAACTGTGCAGTCAAAATAATTAGAAAACGAAGCAAACACATTTTTCATTTTCCTACGACGTTTTTTTTAAACGAAGATGTTTGCGTAGTGCGATCAGAGGTCAAGAAAAGGCGTTAGGAGTTGATGTCGATGGCCCAAGGCTAGTGTAATGTCAACTGCTGCACTCGCTATGATGGCATGTCGTTCCGAATCGAATATCCTCGCCGGCCTCGTCCTTTGACGGAAAGGAATTCCTGAAAAAGGAAAAGGAAAGGAATTCCTTAAGATGGGCCTTGCCAGAGATTTCGGATGATTGTGTTCTATCCCGGGTCATTTGACTGGAAATAGCATCCCTTGGTCCTGGTTTTAGTGGTCTTTTGAGACAGGTCTCCGCCTGATCCGAGTGGTCGCCTTGACAGGTTTTACTGTACATGTATTGAGAAATATTTGAAAGGAATTGCTGATCCTTCTTTCTCAGAATCTTCTACACCTAATTTTATTACATTGACTGGCGATGGCCAATTATCCATATTTCAACATATCCGTACATCTTCATGGCACTGTCCAAACGGTCTCTGGGCTACACCAATCACTAAAAGAAAACGAAGATATGATTCGAATTTTCGGGGAAGACCCTTCTTTAGAAATACTCTCAATGCAGACAACGCAAATGCGAACGTTTTCGCCAAAGAGACTGTTTGGAGAGTGTTGTGAATGTGTGTGGGTATAGTGGATGGCTACAGTGGGGTCTTCGCATGTTTAGTCATCCGTATTTCAACATGATCCAGCAAATCTGCGGTACCTCCTTACACATTCCCCTATTTTTGGGGAAGGCCATTGAGTGCAATTGCAATTATATTGATACTACTTGAACTGCCATCATGTCGACGTAAACGCGAGATCTACATGTGTTAAAACAAGAGCGATCACCACTAAAATTTATATCGGTACTTTTTCCCTTGCTATATCAAATAGGAGAAGCGAAGGAGGTTGTTTTATCAATGTTATATTGATCAATTTTCATAAGATGGTTGCTCCAACGAGTTTCTAAGTTCGTATTTTCATACGTCCTACCATAACCTTGAACCTTCCAATCTGGAAGGCTGTTGGTTTGCGCACTAAAGATGTGTAAGACCTACATGTACATGTAGGTCTGAGGTCGTTCAGTGTCTCAGTAGCCTGTCAGTTTAGTGGCCTGTTATTGCACTTTCTGACTGCATATTATCTTCAAATATCTTGCTATAGTCGTGGATAGTTGCTTCATGACTCGTTTCCATGTGATTTCCTCTATTTTGATCTATTTGCTCAAATTGATTTGTTTTTAAAATGATTCCCCTGGTTAAGCACCTATCTATGGATCTTCCGCGTTTGAGCTTAGATCTTATAGGAGGGATAGGAGGTGCGGTGGTTTTAGCAATGCAAATGCATTCAGTTCTAGTCACTTCATTGCTTCACTGCAACCATGCGGATACATCTGCCTTCATACCTTGTCAACCGGCAGCGTATTCTTGCTTTCTTCAACGTCTCTGACTCGTAGGTGCTTCTGCAAGGGCTAGATGGCTGGTACTAATCACAGTCAGTCATGTACATGTATATGTACATGTAGGATCAATGCAGACACAGGAATGATTTGAAATCACGCACTTGTGGTAGAGATAAACCGTAGCTGCAGGATTGCATCTCAGAACATTTCGCCATATTCAGCAGTTTTATCGATATCACCCAGACTGCATCGCGTGTACATGTACATGACCATGTATGGTAAATCGAATACAGCATGTATATGTATCTTGTTGTCTCATGAGTCTAGAAGAATATTCTATTTTTGGTAATTTTCTCTCACCTGTCTAGCAGTAATGAGGCTATGATGTACATTGTATATACACAAGTACATGTACACTGTAGCTATACTGACATGCATCTTGATGAATTTGGTATCTAGTCAGGACGCCCTAGTTAATGTACATGTACTGTCGTGGACGTGGAAATCCGGTCGCACGTTTAGCGGCCACAGGGCGCTGGCCATGCAGCCGTAGCATGTATGCGCTGTAAGCTAGCTAGCCGCTGATCGCATAGGCCAGGATCAACATGATTGTGCACTGCATGCAACGCCTTACGTTCTGTACGCGCTGAGGGCGCCGGCCCCGGTCAATCGACTGGATTTCCATGTCCGCGATAGTACATGTACATGACCAGTGAAACCTGTCTAAGACGACCGCTCAAGGGACCTTCAAAACGTGGTCTACATGTATGTTACCAGGTGGTGTCCTTATCCAGGGTCATTTGACTGGAAATACAATAGCATCCCTTGGTCCTGGTTTTAGTGGTCTTTTAAGACAGGTGGTCGCCTTGTCCGGCCTGATTTTAGTGGCCTTTTAAGACAGGTGGTCGCCTTGTCCGGCCTGATTTTAGTGGCCTTTTAAAACAGGTGGTCGTCTTGACAGGTTTTACTATACAATGTACAGCGCAATGGAACAAGTCCCGGGATTGAGTACATGCACATGCACATGCACCTCAGCCGACCAAATCTTACACTACTTTCACTTTAGCTCATACCTGTACAAGTACACCCTTCAAAGCGGTGAACCCCTTGGTAGGCGACAAGCCTCTGGGTCATCCTAATAAAGATATTATTATTTGAAACTCGGATGTTGAGCCATAAATAAATGTAGAAGAGAAAAGGACATATGGATACGAGTTAAGAGTAACTCTCCATCACTGTAACATGATACTATATACAGTCAGAAAGTACAATAACTAGGCACAAAACTGACAGAGTACTGAAACATTCGACGTCCTGACACCTAGCTTCAACACATCTCCGTAGCGCTAACCGACAGTTGGGTGGTGTGCTGTTTTGCTGCTTCGAATTGTAGTTAGACCGCTTTGTCAAATATCGTACTGGTCTCGTCATCGTCAAGTAACAATCGACATTCTTTGTTCCGTTGAGACTGCAGCTTTTGCTCGTTTTCGTTGCGCTTGCCTTCCCCTCTTTGGTCTTTCCATAACCTTGAACCTTCCAAGTTGGAAGGCTGTCGGTTAGCGCTACGGAGATGTGTTGAAGCTAGGTGTCAGGACGTCGAATGTTTCAGTACTCTGTCAGTTTTGTGCCTAGTTATTGCACTTTCTGACTGTATATAGTATCATGTTACAGTGATGGAGAGTTACTCCTAACTCGTATCCATATGTCCTTTTCTCTTCTACATTATTATTATTATTATTATTATTATTTGAAACTCGGATGTTGAGCCATAAATAAATGTGGAAGAGAAAAAGACATATGGATATAGTATCATGTTACAGTGATGGAGAGTTACTCTTAACTCGTATCCATATTATTATTATTATTATTATTATTTGGAAAGGATTGGGAGAACTTCAAATTCAAAGTATCAGTCGGGGAAGTGAACTGCCTGAAAAGAGAAAAAACGCCAGACCCACCAGGACTCGAACCTGGGACCCTGCTTGTCATGAGCAATGCTCTAACCACTGAGCTATGGGACCAGGCTGAACCTAGAAGGCGCTGACAAGTTTTTCACTCCAAAGGCAGCTCACAACACGTGCCACACATACTGATGGCACTTGGGTCTTTTTCCCTCCCCCAGGGGACCAACCACGGTCAGTTTCTGGAAACTACCAGAGGTGAAAGAAAGTGATTAAATTTGGAAAGGATTGGGAGAACTTCAAATTCAAAGTATCAGTCGGGGAAGTGAACTGCCTGAAAAGAGAAAAAAACGCCAGACCCACCAGGACTCGAACCTGGGACCCTGCTTGTCATGAGCAATGCTCTAACCACTGAGCTATGGGACCAGGCTGAACCCAGAAGGCGCCACGTTCCATCAGTATGTGTGGCACGTGTTGTGAGCTGCCTTTGGAGTGAAAAACTTGTCAGCGCCTTCTAGGTTCAGCCTGGTCCCATAGCTCAAGAGCATTGCTCATGACAAGCAGGGTCCCAGGTTCGAGTCCTGGTGGGTCTGGCGTTTTTTTTCTCTTTTCAGGCAGTTCACTTCCCCGACTGATACTTTGAATTTGAAGTTCTCCCAATCCTTTCCAAATTTAATCACTTTCTTTCACCTCTGGTAGTTTCCAGAAACTGACCGTGGTTGGTCCCCTGGGGGAGGGAAAAAGACCCAAGTGCCATCAGTATGTGTGGCACGTGTTGTGAGCTGCCTTTGGAGTGAAAAACTTGTCAGCGCCTTCTAGGTTCAGCCTGGTCCCATAGCTCAGTGGTTAGAGCATTGCTCATGACAAGCAGGGTC